ACGAGTGGTGCCAAGACTACTGAAACTGGACACAACAGCAATGGGAACAGGTCATCTGGTCTGATGAATCATCATTTACATTATTTCAGACCACTGGATGTGTGTTCGTCTGGCAAACACAGGCAGAGGCATTTCATGTTGATTGTCTGGTTCCTACCTTGAAGCATGGAGGGGCTCTGTGATGCTGTGGGGAGTGATATCGTGGCATGGCTTAGGGCCACTTGTAGTCATGAGGGAGAAGGTCAGAAGTGAGCATTATCGCAGTATTCTCACAGATCATTTACACCCTATGCTTCATACTCTGTTTCCTGGAGAACATCCTCTATTCCAAAATGACAACACCCCTGTATACACTGCTCGCTGTGTTCAAACATGGTTGGATGAGCATAATGATGAAGTGGAACATCTGATGTGGTGTCCTCAGTCCCCTGATCTCAACATCATTGAGCCTGTGTGGGGTTTTTTAGAGAACAAAGTCTGTGCTCAATTTCCTCTTCCACGCACACTACCGAACTCGATACTGCTCTGCAGGAGGAATGGCTGCGAATTCCCTTAAACTTTCTGCACGACCTTTATTTCTCAATCCCATGTTGGATAAAAGCTGTAATTCAGGCTAATGGTGGCCCACCTCCCTACTAATAAATATTTTGCATTCTTTCACAGGTGTTCCTATTATTTTGTCCTATACCTGTATGTATAATGGAAATAATCAACAGACTTGTTGGGAAATTCTGAATCTATCACCATGGGTGCGTTCATTAATAGAGGTCGCTCTGAGTCTCCGTTTCTACAGGAGTGTGCTACTGTTTGTAGGCATTTAGGAACGACGGTGAAAGAAAGAAAGATGGTGGCGCCCACACTATCGATAGTATCGTGATGAACGAATCTATAATTCTAAAATATGAGCTTTTAAAGGCAAAAGAAGAATCCAAATTGTAAAATTTAACCATAAAATGGATTATTTCTTGAAAGAGCATTCAAAATACCCACGAAAAAAATTAGAATGCCGGCTATTATTCGAAAAAAATTTGAAAAGACACTTACATCACCGCATGCACTAACTTGCGCTTTCACAACTTCTAAATTTTCATTCATAAAACCACATAATGGACCCCGAAACGGAACTATGGAGGATGTCATGTTGCTTTACACCGTAAACTACTACTACAAGCAGCCATTTTTGTCGTTCGACGGCATGAACTCCAACCAGAATTTAGGAACACGTTCCACAGGAATTTTTAAACGGATCTCACTCGTGCGGAGTTACGTGGAGGAATAAAAGAACGCACTCCATGTGTGGCCCTTTAAAGGAAGCTTTGGGAGACAGGAAATTCACCAGAATGCTGAACTCTCTGAAGTCAGAGTATTTGTCATGCTGTGGTTCCAAGACTAGTCAAAAGATTTTCATTCTGCAGACAGAGCATTGTTACCAAAACAATGGGAGAAGTATCTATAGAAATATAAATTGGAATTATGTAACACAGTTCCATTGACATTACTGAAATTCTGGACAGAAGTTGAATTATCTTTAATATATTTTTATGCTCATATCAAAAGTATATCATAAAGTTTATTTATTTATATCTAGAATATGCTAATTATATTTACAAAATTGTACAAGATTAAAAATATATACAGTAATGTTCAAAAGAAGCAACATTTTAATCTTAATCAATGTAACACTTATAAGTTAGTGCAGATGATGCAACTGCAATAAAATGTTGTGTACATATGTCATTTGTGCTTAAGCTTGCTTAATGTACATGTGAGAAGCCAAGGGCATAGAATTGTTCTGTCACTTACTGACACACAATTGTTAGATTTTCTCACTTGATTTTGGAGGGTTTTAAAGTAAAAAAGCATATAGACTGTAAAGTGCAGATCCACATCAGGATGTTGACACCAGATAGTCAATTTCGTGGACTATCACGCGATTTTTCTAATTAATTTCACAGAGACGTAGTGTTATAATTGTGAAAAAGGAATCTTTTGATTCAGTCAAGAACAAGGCCATAATTTTAAATGAACTAACAGATACATTTTAAAATTGTAATCTCCAATTTGTTTTATTTTGTTTATTGAATACAGTAGAACCTCGATTATCCGCCCTAATTGGGGACTGGGGTTGGTCGGATAATTGAAAAGTCGGATAACCGAAAAGTATGAAAAAATCCATTATTAGTGTAGTATATTATTATATCCCATGTAATTAGTATATTAGTATATTAGTATATCGCTATTAACCTATTTTGCGTTGAATTTTCATCGATGTTAAGCCTAACAAAAATTTTTTAAAATAATAATCGTCACTATTGTATCGTTAAAAATTAGAAAATTAAGCTTCGTTTAAATACTGGCTCCCTTTCATGGTCGAATGAGTGTTGCCAGCTAAAACACGTAAAAATAATATTAAAGTAGCCAAGACATAGCCAAATATTGTAGCGCCACATCACTAGCGGACATCTGAAATTTGCAGACTAGGACGGTCGGATAACCGAGGGGTCGGATAATCGAGGTTCTGCTGTATTCTATTTCGCAGAGAGAGAGAGATTATACTTTATTTTAGAATCATACTACCTCATTGACTTCATATTTCAATGTCTTCTCTTTATATTCGTCCACTGATAAAGTTCTTTAGTTAATCTTAGTTCATATTCAGTTTTTCTTTGCTTTCTTTTTACTTTGAAGGAGGCACTTTATCAAATAGTTCAATTTACAAGTTTTGGGTGTTGACTATGTGGAGATGACATGGAATATGTCTTCTCTACTATAGAGATTTAGGCACACTCCTGGCTATGGGTGTTGGCCGTGGAGAGACAGTATGGAATACGTCTTTCTACATCAAGAAGTTCTGGCGTACTCCCCGAACAATAAGAAAGAATCCCCTTTTTTGAGGTTTTCCTCCAATGGCAACATTGTATTTTTCCCACGTAAGCAGGATGAGTGGGGATTTACAGAGGGGCGATTGTTCGTTAGATGACTCAAATCTTGGAAGATAAGGGAAAAATGAAAGGAAGTGAGTTTTACCAGTTTCCTTCATTTTTGAAATTAAACTTTTTCCATCAAAATCAGAAACATTATTTCTAAAAGTTATTGATTTGATTCAAACTTTCAATTAATTAAAGGGGGGTGTTCAAAATCTCACATACACTTAACAGTTCTTTTCCTGTTGGAAGATGCTCAAAATATATGAACTAACTTTTGAGATATTCAGAAAGGTTATGTAACACCAAATTTTCCAGAATTATTGTATGTGGGTAGTCAACTGTTGTGAAGAATCTTAACAAGTTGATAAGGAAAGGGTCCATAGTGGAAGACCAAATGTGTCATCAAAGAAAAGATGCTGTTATAAAAAGTATATGTCATGAAATCAGATTTGCATTCTCAGTGCAAACAAAAAATGAATGGAGAGTTTTGACAGATGTCATTGAAAAGTACTGTCACTGTTTGCTAAAGACTCTGAAGACTGGGATTAAGAACCCAAAGAGAAAGAAATAAAACATGAATGAGCAAAGAAACACAATGACTGGACAGTAATAAATGGTGTCAAGTAATATTTTCTGATTAATCACACTTTATTCAGCAATAGGTCAACTCTTGTCAAAAGGACTCTTATCAACCAAAATGAATTGTCATGATAACAGCATTGCATCTCATTTAAGGATTATGGACAACTGCACCTCAGTATGTTGTCATCAGTCAGTTAGTGTTGATTGCAAGAGAAAACTTTGGGAATCAGGAATGGCAGTAGGTTTTTTCTTCATGTACTGAATTGTCATATTTTGTTGGTTTACATATCATGAATTTTACATTAATATCTTAAACTGACTTGGAATCTCTGCTAATTTAAACCCTATTTGAAAGAAAGATAAAGGAATAGCATCCTAGAACAAGACAGGATTTGAAGGAAACCATCAACAGTGCTTGATCCCACAAAATGAATGACAATAGTATCTGCTCTTTGAGTTCATGCTGTACCAATGCCAGGCTATCCTCAAAGACAGAAGTGGCTACACAAAATACTAATGCCTTCAACTAATATGGAACTGTAATCTCATTTATTGCTTGTCATTTTATTGTGCTATTTTTGTTTGAATTAAGTATTTCATACTATAATCATAAAAATGAAAGTCACGTTTTTCATTAAATCAGTACTGCAATTTATTATTCTTGGTACTTTTCACTATTATCTGGTAAATGGATAGAGGAATCCATAATCCTGTTTATTGTACTTGAAATACATAATAATTGATCTAAAAAGTCAATTATTTTCAAGCAGTCTATTATTTTCATTAGGAGCTGTAAACAGTACTGTATATATGCATGTTATTATTATTATATATTAGTAATGTAAAAAAATTAAGAAATCTGAGAAAGTAAATAATTTTGTTTTAATAAAAAAACAATTGAAACAATATAAAGTAATTAACTGAAAAAATAACAATAAAATTAATGTTATTATTTAATTGATAATCCCCTGAACTTTAAAGAAAATTTACTCATGTTACAGAACAGAATACATAAATTCAACATAAAAGGAAAATATTTTTCTGCAATTTATAATAAATTATACAAAAAGTTCAGTCATAATTTCATACATTATAAATTGGTATATTAATATTTTTATTTAGTTTGATGGGGAATTAATTAGACTTTGTTTATAAACTGAATACTAAATGGCAAAGTCAAATAACAGCAATTTTTTACAAATTTTTTATGCATACTATGAATTTATCCAAAGAAAATGTTTAATGGTAAAAATTCAATTTGTAAATATAACTTGAAAGAAAGTATAATTTTAGCATTATCATCATTTCTGTGATTTATATAATGCTTTGTTGTGTAAAGATATTTTGTTTTCTTGCTTTTATTATGAAAGAAAGAAAAATGCATTGTTAAGTATCTTTTTATGCAATCAAGCAATACATAAATCATAAAAATGATATACTACTACTCTAGAAATGTTTGTGGTATATTATATTGATCTTTTCTAATTTTAGATCTATCCAGATGAAAACCACTTCCTAACAAATGTAAAGAATCATTTATATCAAACAATGGAAGACTTTTTAAATGAATGTTTCTTTATTGAAATGAAAGAAGAAATAGAAGCCACAAGAGTAAAAAAAGATGTTAAAGGAAGGTAGAATATTAAGATACATAGTCAAATAGAAAGATTATATAGTTGTAAGTAGAAAGAAGATTTACTATCAGAGTAACAAAACAAAAAAAAAAACAGCCTACTGAAAGTCACATGGCCTGCCTGTACAGTCCATGCTAAGTGACAGACAAGATAGTATGTCTGTATAGCCAATGTGCCTCTTCAGCTCTTGCAGTGTGATATTGATGTGGAAAGACATTGCTAACGTGTAAAATATTGCTTCATCCCACCTAAGGTTGTGAATGTGGCTTTGGCCTGTCCATTGTACAGTATATTTGACTATCCCTCCACTGGGTCTATTAAATTGATGATTGGTTAATCGTTCAACCCGGTATATAGGTTAAATCGAGACACGATTGTAGACCTGAACTTGTTAATTTAACGAAAAATTTATATCATTCCAACAACAGTACACCCCCACCGTTACGTGTGTACACAAAAACTTTAGAAATATACAGTGTACCTGTTTTTTGTATCCATACACCCTAATGGGAAAAATTTTAGTGGAGTATGTGAATGTTTACTTGTGATAAAAACACTCATGGTGATAAATGCATTTTGTATTGCATAATTTTTGTTGTATTTCATTGCAAAATCATGGAGTGAATGTTAAATTGTGGATTTATATCTTTACTTCAGGTCCATTTTCATATTGTTTAAAGTGTGTTTTAGATACATTCAAGTTTTACTTCATTTTTTAAATGAAATTTCGTATATCATTCTTTGTACTTTAATTATGAGATGGGAATGACTGACTGACTATTCCTTAAAACTAATACAGAATTTTGATAAGAGTTTGGATTATTGTAAGTTTGGTACTGCTCTTAAACTGTCATGTTTCGTATCCATGTGCCTCAAGCAAAGCCTTACTTTTTTCAAAACAAAAAAAGGGTTTTTCTCTACAATTTTATCAAAATAGTTACAAAATAATACTAAAAATTTATTGTATATGCAAAAGAATAAGTAACTGTACATTATTTCAAAAGTTTTAGATGAATTTCATTTTCTTTAAAGCATTTTCTGTCAATGATCTCATTATATGTACATAAAAAATTTTTATTATTATTATTATTAAATGTTAAAATAACTGTCAAAAAATTTGTTTCTTAACAATAATATATATTTTTATCCAGTTCAACTAATTAAATCAAAAGAAAACAATAAAAAGTTTTTAATATTAATACAAAAGTTTAAAATCTGCAATGTGTAAGCAAAAAGTACGAAGTTAAGGCAGATTTCAAATGACATATTTGAATAAATTGAATGTAATAGACTGTAAATGTTTAGTTATGTTTATATGTATAATATTTATTATATGAAATTTTAGAAAGGAATTTTTTTTTAATTATATTTAATATATTTATTTAACTTTTCTCCAATATAAACAAATTTTAAAAATTTTATAGTCTACAAATTGCAAATTGCTCAAAAACAACATATGATATATGGTATATCTGTACCAGTTATGTATCATTGGATTATTGTTAAATGTATAATGAAAGAAGTATGTATGGAATTTGTAATTATTTTGTACACTATTGCTTTTCATGTATTTCATAATTATTGTGTATGTTCGATACATGATAAACAATATGAGATAACAGCTTTGCTTTGATATACTTGGATAAATTGTTGTAAAAATGGCAAAATTATTTGCTGAATTAGTGTTTTTATGCTTTATATATTTCTTCTTGGCAATGATCATAACCGTATATCAATTATGCATTTTTAAACCAGTCACACTTTTTATATAGATATACATCAATTTCTTGTAACTCATGATCTTTACTCTGATTTTTTTTTTATGTTTTTATTTTCATCAAAATAAACCATTCAACTTTTTCAAACGTTCCATTTAATGTAAATAGATAAATACGAAACTTAAATGCTGTCATGGTTTTCATGAACTTTATTTGTCGACCACCGAAATAAACTCGCTATGTAAAATTTTTAATAAAAAAAAAATAAACCTATTGAATGTATTGTCATCATGAAAACACATCTTATGTACTGTGGGATTTAGTACATACAGTAATTTCTTATGTGTTTTGCATGCTTTTGCTAGGATGTGAGAGTTGTACTTTTATATGTACTATTGTTAATCATCGAAATTTGTGTACTAGTGTCCATGGATTTGTGTAGATCATAATATGGACATACCTGTATTGACTGGTCTTAGTATATGTGGACCAGATGTAATTATAGATTCTTGTAAGAAAAGTCAGTACAGTAATTTATTGTAATAAAGCAAAATGCATTGTACATAACTAGTTTGTCATGTTGTTTTTTTATTAATATACATAAAATTATGTAAAGGGATCTAATAATCTGTACAATTCTTGATTAAAAAGAAATACTTTTGAATACAAAAAGTATGGATTGTGCAGTTTGCAAATAATTTCATTAAGTTTTTTTTTAAGAATTCCTCTCTACAGTTCTATTTTAACTATTTTCCATCAATATAAAAAAAATTAATTTTAATTTTTGTTTGTGTAGTTTATTTTATAAAATGAAAATTGTTTTTTCTTTCATTTTTTTTATAAATAACAAAACTATTTAAATAATACAATACATATAAATAAAATTAAAACTGTTATAACTTAGGAAATAATTATCTTAAATTCAAATTTGGACTTGGGATGACCCTTAAACTAAGTGCTTAAGTTAATAATAATATATATTCTATACTTAAATAAGCATAATTAACATTTCTACTCTTTAATAAATTATTATAAACTATATTTAGTTCTATCCTTTTACCTTCCAGGCTGTTTTAACATGGGAAAGTATTGTAATCAGCCCAAATTTTTACTTTCTTGTTATTTTCCTGTCTGTTTTAACACAACGCGAGTTATATTCCTGGTAGTTGTAATCGTGTCACATTTGACCCTCCAGGTTTTTGGAAATGTGATGTTTTGACACCCCTGAATCCAAATAAGTCAAAGCAAAAAAACAGAAAAAAAAAGTGTGAATATACGTGTTGGCATCTATTTCGTTTAATATTGCAGGATTAACAAACGAAATTTGGCATGGTAACTTGTAAATAAATGATATTGATGCTGTTAAATTTTGGTGGTTAAAGGTCGAAGGGGGTGGGGAGATAGATGGAGTCAAGTATATCTCGAATAGGATCGGACTTAATGAAAATTTTAATAATTATCGACATAATATTTTTAAAAACTCATCTCTACTCTCAAAATTGAGTCTTTTGCCTTTTTATATTATTATAACTTAATTATAACAAAACTTTTTTGTAATAAAATCTCATAACAGATGGCGCCACACAGTTTTATTTATTATGTTAATAATATAAAAGTTATACAGTCGACCCCCCTATAACACTGTTGATTATTCCGTTTTATATGAATTCCATGTTGTACGAGTCACTTAGATTTTACAAATACGTGAGCCGTTCACAGCCCGGCACACGTATTTGTAAAATCTAAGTGACTCGTACAACATGGAATTCATATAAAACGGAATTATCAACAG